ACCACAACCACAACCACAACCACAACCACAACCACAACCACAACCACGACAGCAGCACCAACAACAGTCATCAACAAAAGCAGCAACAATATGCAACAATAATAACAAGATACATTTTTCGAAACAAATGTAGCCCATACAATACAGAATCATACCAGACTTTCTTGGAAGACCAAAACGGCCGTCTCGCTGCTGCTCCCCACGTCGGCAGCGAGACCGATCGACCGACCAAACCGCCCATGTTTCGGCACCTGTTTCGATGACCAGCGACCAGGCTCAGGATGTCCAACTACCATGCAGCTGTCCCTCGGATCGACCGTCCATGGCGTCGGCGGACGCCGCGGAAACGACGCAGACGCGGAAACGCGGAAGGTTCCGCCGTGACGTAGTCCGGAGGGACACACAAGCGACGAGACGTAAGGAACAGGGCCTTTGGTGCGACTGATTCTCAGTCGCACTTGGAACGACTACTCAACTCCAAACTCCAGGAGTTGAGTTGTACAAGCAGAATATCTTAGGATCATATGAAGGGGGGTCCTGTTTTTATCCCCAATGACCTATATAAGTTTTTGAGTCGTCCTTTTACCCTATGAAGTTTGGAAGCTATTAAGTTTTATATACATGGTTTTAATTCGTTTTACTGTTTACTTTAGTTTTGAGCCACAATAACTTAAGCCAAACAGCCCAGGTCCCCATGGTGTTTTGAATTTATTAGACCCCAAGTGACACCTTTGATACGTGTTGGCCAAGAAATGGCCAAGAATCGTATTCGGGACTGATTTGCCAAGCGCTCCAACGTGGGTGTTTCTTTTTTGCATCTGGTGCAGGTGAAAAAAAGAACATATATATATATATACTATATAATACAGATATAGAGACCCCCAAATAGAATCAAATAAATAGAAAAGTAGATCCCCACTAAAAATGTTTTGGAAATTGTCTACAGTATACGGGGACCACTCTAACCATTCCTGTGTCGCCAAAGGCACCCCATTCTTTGCCACGGCCAAACATGGGGACTACTCGGAGGCATAAGGGATGGACTATCAGTGGCAAGAGTCAGTTGAAGGAGACCAGGGGATCCAAGATTTCAAACCAATAACAGAATTTCCTGGTTTTGCTGATGGAGCAATGGATATTTTCCCCTTCCTCAGATGATTTCTTCATGTGTTTCCCAGTTGACAGGAAATTCCAACATTCTCACGCGTGTTCCAGCACCTTCAGACCCACCTCTCTAGGTGGCTCGAGATGACCTGAACTACTGGGTGAACCGATCAGTCCCATGGTTCGTCGGTTTCAGACGCTTGGGCGAAGTCTGGAGACGATGGAGACGGCGGCGTGTGAGCAGCGGTGTGTTGTGTTGCACCTTGCGGATCACGCGATGGCAACGATGGATGGACGTTCTTTTTTGTTTGGAACCTTCCAGTATCACCCTGATTCTCCCAGTGGCTGACATGTTGTATAATTATACATACCTTGAACTTGTTTGAAGCACCCTGATGTAGGCATGGGTAAGGGGTTTCTGTTTTTTGGGACCCGAATGGGGTTGATCATGGAACATCAGACCTCTCCCAATCACTGTTGAGCCCGGGGACCTCGGTGACCCCGGTGACCTCGGTGACCCCGGTGACCTCGGTGACCCCGGTGACCTCGGTGACCTTGGCCAAACCACTCGTTAGGGATAAAGCCACGGAGTGTTGGCCGTGGCACCAATCCTCGTGGTTTCGGGACTGAAGCACCTGGGCCGGCCGTTTGGTCTTCGGGGGCCAATGGAGGGCCATGGTCATAAACAGGAGGCCATGCCATTCCGGCCAATGATTCTTCCAGTGTAGACGGAGGTGTGCCAGGTTGGAGTCGAAGTAAGTGCTTGGAGCCGACGCACGTCGACGGCGTCGACGGCACCCATACTCTTAACATCCAGGCTGCTGGCTGCTGGCAGATCTTCGATTCGGAAAGAAAAACCTTAGACCCTGGACTCCTTAGACATCCTTAGACCCATTATTGCAAGAAAGATGTGGGTGTGTACAAAAAGGAGACCTCCCAGGCGACTCGGGAAATAGACCAAAAAGGAACACATCAAAAAGATGGGCGGGAAGGCCTCGGTGGGGCCGGGGGGGCTTCTTGTTTCTTAAGACACACCAAGTCCTAGAGCAGTCCAATGCAACCAAATGTCCCGATGATTCCAGGAGCATGGGACCTACTCATAACCGAATGAGCTTCTGTGGGCATGAGCTTGCAGCCAGCTTCAGCCTACAAGATTCCTTGGGCAGTGCCACAAGCAGTCACAATGTTCAAACACTTTCTCCGCCAAGGAACTCGAAGTTTCATCTCAAGAAGCTGATGTTGTCAAAGACATGGCACAGAACCCCGATGAACTGATATAATGAAATCATGCAGTTTATATGTCTTAAATGAACATCATTAGAAGTTAGAGTATTGTTCACGTGCCTGGACTCCTTATTCTCAGCTTGAGCTAGATAGCAGAGGTGCGTACCTCCAGGCTGGACATTCCTATCTTTTGAATCATTGGTAGTGTCTCAGTTATTTATGTATCAACTCCATAGCTATAGATCACATGACATCAGTTGCCTCTTTGTTGCCTCTCAGCGTGGTTGTAAACCGCAGAAGGTGGATCCGGATCACCCGAAACCGAGCGGTCCACGGATCAGGACTTCTCTTGGTGTGGCACCTTGGTCGGGTCGGGTCGGGAAGCGAAGCTGTGTCGACGGTGCGGACGGTGGATGTGCGGACGGAAGATCGTCTGACCAGCGTTCATCCTTTGGATGAACCGGTGGATAGAATCTATAGAAAGCCTGAAGAACATGAAGAACGAGGACTATGAAGGCCTTGAGAGCCTGTAGGTTCAGAAACTTTGATTACCATGGGAGCCAGATGTGTAGAGCCCTGTAGAGCGATCCTTGCCGTCAGATTGACCCGGGTCGCATTTAGCAGTGGTGTTTGGAGCGGTTACAATCTGAACAAAAGGATACAAACATATACAAAAGGTAGTCCTTCACACCTAGAGAGGAACAGCCCTTTTCCGCCTATATATTCCATGTGTTTCACTCTAGGATCCCCAGCTCCTCCCGAAATCGGTGGATTCCGAAGAAAAAGACGAAGGCAGCTGCGATGTGTCACGCCTCACCCAGGCGCCCTGCCTGACTGAGGTGTCCCTTCGACCTGGCCTATCTGCTGCGGGTGCTGTGTAGCTTCCTGGGATTCGGCAAAACCATTGAAGAGCACCAGACCTGGTTCAGCACACCAGTTCCATGGCATGTGGAGACCGACTCCACCGGTTGGTTTTCATCGCGAGGTGGAGCGTTCGGCGGAGGCAGCTTCGGTGTTTGCTCGCACTGTTGGTGTTGGTGAGGTCCTTTGGACACGACCTCCAGTCCAAACCAGTTGGGGACCGTCGTTTTTTTAAACGTCAACCCTGAATTTCCAACACCCCAACACCCAGACAATGCTTGGGAGATGTTGGGGCTAGCCCTTCCGCGTGCCTGGGAGAAAGAGAGACCCCCCAACTTGATCAGCGATGTGCGGCCAATGCAGCTGATCAACGATGTACATTCACTGCCTGTGGCGACTACCTGCGCTGGCGACATACGCATGACGTCATGTGCGCTGGCGACTAGGGTCACTGTAATTGGTCTCCAGAAAGCTTCCTGAATGCTGAGCCATCGCCGGCACGTCCGCCTAAGACCATCCACGAAGCTAAGACCTTTGACTGCTGCCTTCCTTCAAGACCGACGAATTCCAAAACCTCCAACCTGCAGAAAGTCCAACCGCGCTGCAAAGCGTCTCAATTCCGCGACCACTCGCGTCTCGTGCCGGTCAACGGCGTGTCTTTCGGCTCATCCGCCGCCAGCGCGCTCGGTCTGCCCGAGGTCGCAGGGATGCTCTTCAGCGACGCCTTCAGTGTGTCGCTGCTGCGGAACCTCAACGCTGCGTGCCTCAGTGGCATGAGCGGACGGATGGCAGGTGAGATGTGACCCTACCTGGAACCCAACTGACCCTTGGGTGGTTGGGGTTCCAAAATAGAAATCATTCAGGTTCTAGGTAAAGATTAGAAGTTGCAGACCGAGGCCCGCACGGCCTGAAGATGAGAGATCTTGGATTGTAATACGCCTTCTTACGGCCCGCTTCCGTGCGGTTCGGACCTTTGTTTTGTTTCGATTCATGGAAGGTTCATAGAAGGTTCGAGAGCCAGCATGGACCTCACCGCCAGCACGGACCTCCTTGGGTTGCAAAAGAGATACTCACCCAACTCGCTGCTGACCTCGGACTTGCTCGGATCAGAGACGCGACGGCGAGAGCGCAGAAAGCTGGACTCGGAGCAGGGAGGGAACCCCCAAAGCCTCATAGCCTATAGCCTATAGCTGTATAGCAAGAACTGGAAGAGGCCTTGACTTTTGAAAAGCTTGGGTCCGATCGTAGTTCCAACTGTGACAGCTTGCGCATTTGGGGGTTTTCAGGGTGGGGCCTCGACTGGAAGAGGCCTCGGCTCAGCCCAAGGACCTCCGCCATCCTAGCCTTGTTGCCCTTTGCCGATGGCGCCACTTGCCGGCCACGTTTGGTCGCAATGGCGCGAAAGACGGGGGGCCAAGCCAACGTAAAGTCGTCAACAGCTGTCAGAAATACAACAAGTGAACATGTGTTTCTTATGATTCTTTTGGAATGAATGGGTTCATGATTCTGATTGGAACGAATGTGTCCTGAACCTTTCATTGTGTGATTTCTGATATTTTGATGACCCCTCGCCCCACACTGCTTGCTTAACAAGCGCAGAGTTGAACGTATTCCGCCTGGTGCATGGGAACAACATGGGTGCTGAACAGAGACAACATTTGCCTCTAGAAGCCGCTTGGATTGGAAACGTCTTTGTATTTGAGCTATCATCGATGGTCATAGATGATCTATTCAGGCATCCAGCATCGCAGAGATTCATAGATTGCTCCGCTCAGCAGCGACAAGACTGGACTCCCACTCCATTGGAACGGTGATGTCTCAGAATAACCTCTTGGAAAGAGCAGGTGGCATGGTCGATTTGTCCTTGACAAGGGGTGACATGGGTGGCACCACAGCCAAATGAACACTCCTTAAGTTGAAGCTGACGTTGAGCCATTCGTCTCTATCCCATGGTCCCAGGAATACGGATGACAGCAAAGTGCATGCTGGATGGACTCTAGACTGTCAAGACTCCCAAAATTGCATCAGGAGAGCGGGAATTGCCAGAATGATGCTGTTGACCACATGCATCCAAACTGGGCCATGCCAGACTCAACGAAGAACATGGACGCTTTCAGGGGACCTTCCATGGTTCTGGTGCGTTTGGTATCCATCCTTTGCATCCCTTGACTTCTCTCAACCATGTTGGTAACTACGGTGTCATTAGCCAGGCACAATGACCTCCGAGGTGAGTAACGCGATCATTTTCCTGTTCTTAAGCGTTCTTGCGGTGATCGTGGGCTTCCTGATCTTCCTGTGCCTTGGATGATGAACACATTTGCTTCTGGAATTGCCATGTATCAAACACGTTTCTTTCCAAAGCGGCATGCACCACCCAGCAACGGCGCCCAAGGTTCATCCTCTGGTGTGAACAGGTCGGTGCAGTCAGGTGAAACCTGGTGAAACCTGGTGAATTTCATGGAAGCACATGGAATGACTGGTGCTGATATCGCCAGGGTCAGCCAGGGTGATGTCGCAAAGACTTGACATTGACCAACTATCGTGTGTCTACCACTATGGAGGTTGTGTTTGTTCATGTAATTACCCGGACCCTCCCGACTCGGATAGTTCCTAGTCGACCACCTGTTGGGTTCGGTCCGTCTACGAAACATGTTTTACTCATTAACAATCTGTTATTTACATCTTGCCCTCTACACTGGTACTTGACCAGACCATCTCTTAGCTCCGGCCGCGGCAGACCTGAACCGAGACCCGCCGAGACCGCGAGGTACCTGATCACCGAGCAACAGCGTGAGTACTACAGCAAATGGACCGACGAGAGTGTGCAGCAGAAGCTGGAGCTTTTTGGGAGTACCAGAAGTGGGTTGGAACTGGAGAGTACTAATGATAGAAGAGCATACAGAATGGCACGAAGTAGCAATTTTGGGAGCCAACTTGTACCCAGTGGTTTTGACATTCCTTAGACTCCTTAGACCTAGAAATGGTCTAGGTCTACGATGTCTACTCAATTGAAACCACTGTATGTTCCGTAAAATCCACCAGGGCACACCAGGAGTTCCGCAGGGGTTGTTGTGGTAAGAGATGGACATGCAGACAGATGCAACACAAAAACCATGAGTTTGGAACTGCTGGCATGAGCAGCTCATGTAAACATGCAAAAGACATCAAACGTGTCAAACATGTACAATTCCGGGTACTGTATATAAACATACACAAATTATCACAAATTAATGTCCGCCAGAGATTTCCATTCTGCATGGGATCCCAAGGAAGACAGTGGGCTGCTGTGCCCGCGAGAGCTGCAAATGCGAATCGATTCAATTCTTCACCGAGAAAGCTGTACAGGAGTGAGGCCGAGAAAGCCGCCGCCACGTTCGTTCGTTGAGGCGTCGTTTTGGGGTATCCCCGAAAAGTAGGGGGCAGTGTGGTGACTCTTTGGAAGTTATTTGGACGTCCGGAAGCCAACCATGTTTAATGACCTGATGTTATATATATAATATATATCCACTGTTTGGTCTGTTTGTTATATAGATATATCGAGAGAATTTGTAGAACATGTGTCTATAGCCTATTTTAATGGTACTCTATTCTTGTGCCACACATGTCATGCGCTAGAACCTTTCACCCAAAGACAACCTCATATTTTGAGAAGCAGCTTCTTTCTCTCAGGCCTGGACAATATGCTCGCGGCGATCATGCTTTGGCTGGCGTCTAAAGCTGGGTCGGCATGGTCGCTTGCCACAGGTTCCTGTGGAATTTTCCGGGATTTGCATGAAGAAGAAGAATCTCTGGTCAGGGGCTAGACAGCTGTTTCTTCATGCTAAGTGGACAATGCAACCCCTCACAAAGCCCAACTGAGGCGTGGTGGTGAACGGTTGTCCAATTCACTTGAGGCAGCATTCTCACAAAGAAGATGACTGGAACCGCTGATTCGATGACTTGCGGGTTCCCTCAACCAGATTCGATGACTGGAGACGCATGACCCTGTCAAGACCCTGTCGGACCGATAGGTCCTGGACTCTGAGGCTTTTCCAGAACTGAGGCAACTTGGGGGACGAAACCTGATTTTGCTGATTAGGAGGTGATTTGATGTGGTATGGCAACTGCATGGGATGTGATGGAGATCGGAGATCCATCCCCTCTCCCACTTTGACCCCGGCTGCGGGATCCACTAAATCATGACTCCTGGGAAAAACGATTGGAGGAAGGGACTGAAGGTGACCAGATTTCACCAGAAGAAATAAGACTTGTAGAGTCCTGAGAGTTCGGCATTTCGGGTGAAATGAATCCTCTGAATCTGACCAGCTTCTTCCTGCAAATCCGCTCTGCTTGCTGTTGATCTGGATGGATCTGGGCCGCGATCCGCGGAGCGGGATGTGCGGTCCACCCGAGCTTGGCAGCGGAGGTGCCCGAGCTGCGGCTGACATCTCCACCGAAACACTGGGATTCAGAGGTCGAATGCCAACATTGGATACATTCCAGCACCATCCAACAGGTCGAACGCATTGGTTGGGGCAACAGGTCGAATGCGGTGGCAGTGAGGGTGCTGATTTGGATGCGTTATTGGAATGATGAGACTCCACCCATTGATCAAGACTTGCAGCAGACCGCCTGTGTCACACTCGTGCCTTGAGAATTTGCTTGGTGGTGAGATTTCGTGGGTCAGTGGTAGAATCATACAATATGAAGACCTGCATAGTGCCACAGGTTGGTGGATTTAGGGAAAAAAAACACGTTATTAGTTAAATTAATAATGGAGTGTCACGGTATAGGCTTTTGGAATTGTATTTTTTTGTGTGTGGTGTGCCGATTTTACAATGTGTCATTTGGATAAGAACCAATCCCCCTACAAGTTCTGGGACCTTATAAAGTAGGTCCGCTGCCGAATAGGGCTTAGAAGGTACAGTTTCCAGATAACCATGTATATTAGATGCCGAATGTGGCGAGGAACTTGCAGACATGTAGAGTGTTCCCGTTCCTGGGGTGAGTTTTTGCCATGACATGCATGCCATGGCCATGCATGATCCCCACGATCACACTGCCTGATCCATGATGTGGCCAGCAGCTGCAGCTCCCAGGCCTCAGTTGTTCGTTGACGAGACTCTCAAGTCTGGGAGTGTAGATGGGGTGAATCCTCGCCGGTCAGCCTGCCGAGTCCAGCATGGACCACACAGCCCATGGGTTCGAAGAAGATTGTGAGTGTAACCTACAGTGGTGGGCAGAAAAATTTGGAGTCTTCTCATTAGAGTTAAAAAAAAAACACATGAAACAAACAGGAGCAAATTTGTCCAGTTTACTGTACATAGCAGTCTTGTGATCCTGATTTACATCTATATATAGTTGCAGATCTGGATTCCACATGCCACCATGAGGAACTGCTTGCTCTGTGGCTTTCACTTCAATGGACTGAAAGAGGTCAGCCCCGACTGTGAGAGCAAGACCGGGACCAGACCTCCCACTGCGAGGCTCTGAGGCTCAGCTCGATGAAGCAGAGGAGGCGTTGAGAAAGTTGGGTCTCCCATCCCGAAATGCTTTTGGGGTGGGATGAGCCCAAAAGGCTCCAAAGAGAGTGCACATGCTGAAACTGCAGGGCGTTTTCTGCGTAATCACTTTGTTTTACTTCTTCATTGTGCCAACTTACTGTAAGTGACAGGTTGTGAGAGGGTTGTGAGGTCATTCTGAAGTATGGGGGGGCAAATGACACATGTATCAACGTACTATATTTTTATGTATAGTATAATATATATATATAATTATATATATAGTTCAATGATCTACCACAGAGATCTTGGTTTCGTGAATAGCAGGTGTCGAACTGGGGCATTCACCTATATAATATATATAAAAACTCAATGGTTCGGGCCCCACCTGCTGGTTGGAGATACTGTAAACCAGAAGCCCTAGAGTGTATATAGAAAACATACAATAAAAAATATATGGGAGTATTAAACTATTGCGATGCAGAAGACAGGGAAGTGCTTGATGTCAAGTCATGATGTTTCTCTATCAGGACCTTCCAGATGTTTCCTGGTGACCAGTTCGGTGTCCAGGTTCACCACCTCTGGATGGCTCCGAACACCACCTGTTGGAAGGTCCTGGTACCAAAGTTCTTTCTTGCTCAAAGCTGCCCACCATCTCTATCAATTAATTATAGGGCATCCCATTTCCTCTATGAAATGGGGTGGGTCAACCCTATTATAAAACGTTTTATGGCCCCCCTCACTGTGCACGTCAGGTACTCATTTCATAGAGGAGTGGGGTTTTATGCAGAGACATTTCATGGTGCAAAATGGCATTGTGGAAATGCGTGTGAAAACATGACCGTCCTTTATTGGCTGAATACAAGCGGCATGAAAATTGTCATCAAGCATAAGATAGATAGCATAAGACAGAATCCTGAGCAGATTTTGCAGCTAATGTCGACGTCGGATTAATCAACGGGCCCCCCCCCCCTAGAAGGTCAACAAGGTCAACAAGGTCTGAGATTGGAGGTTTTGGAGATCACGTCCCCCTAATAGTGGGGATGACCTGATGATGACAGGAGGAGGAGATGAGATGGGATGGAATGATGAGATCCATGAGAGCCCAAATACGAATTCCCTTTCATCATGAGATCCATGAGAGCTTATTGGCACAAATTTGATTTCTGAGATGACGAAAGGGAATTTGATTTGGAAGAATTGGAATGAAAGGGAATTAGTATTTGGAAGAATTGAGATGAAAGGGAATTAGTAATTGGAAGAATTGGAATGAAAGGGAATTAGTATTTGGAAGAATCGGAATGAAAGGGAATTAGTATTTGGAAGGGTTGGGATGAAAGGGAATTAGTATTTGGAAGAATTGGAATGAAAGGGAATTAGTATTTGGAAGAGCTGGGATGGATTGATGAGATCCATGAGAGCCCAAATACTAATTCCCTTTCATCATGAGGTCCATGAGAGCTCATCATGGATGGGGTTGACTAATAGGGGGGGGTACCCCACTATTAGAGGGGGGTAGGGGGTGTATGGGGGGTACCCTTTCTGAGCTTCTCAAATTGCAGATTTTGATAGAGTTTTAATAAGGGAAAATGAAAGAATTTTCCTAGAGAGTTTTTGGAAATTCTAGGAAAGCTGTTGCTTTGGGAGAGCATTGGTAATCAATCAGAAGATCAGTTTCACCATGGTAAAACAAGAAAATATTGAAAAGACAAAAAGAACAAAACTAATTAAACACACATATATATTTGAATAATTGTATTTTTCCTGGGGGGACAGGGGGTAGACTAATAGGGGGGGGTTTCAGCCAAACATTTTTTTTATTAGAGGGTGGTGACTGTGGAAATTCATAGTTCAAATTAGTTTATTATAGGGGCCTGAACGCTGGGTAGACTAATAGGGGGGGGGTCCCTAATCCTAGGTTGACATTACACAGTGGCAAAATTTTTGGTCAGGTCCAGTCATCTTATATAAATGTGATTTGGGTCAGGTAGCTCAAGATATGGCCCTTTGGTGGTTGGGTCCACCATTTTTTATCTATAAAATGACCTGCATGTCCCCCCCCATGGTAATAGGGTTAGGTATAATTAATTTATCAATATATATATATATAAATCTATTTATGGTATTAATCTATCCTAATAGGTTAATACTAGGTTTATAATTCTTCATAAGCTATGAATATAAATTATCAAGGAGTTTCATCTAGTATTTCAAGAATTACCAAACTTTATTAGACATTTCATCGATATACTCGGTTAATTTTTTTGGGGAATGGTCCTCTACTTTAGAACTTGCATTCATCAATGCTCCCAGAATGAGGATGAGCTCATGAGGATGGATGAGCTGATGAGTTTTAAGGATCTGTCCCATCTTCGTTTCTGTGGGTTCGTGAGGCAGAACATCTGCGGCAGTACAGGGCGGCCCTGAAGGGGAACACATAGAACATGTTTTCTATCTTTTAAAGAACAAACAAGACACGCACACATGAGTTGGCACTATTTAACAAGTAAGAACTCTATATAACTATATAGATCTCAACCCTCTTTAGGAAGGAACGGATGGATTGATGGACAACTGGGCAATGACTGATTTGTGAAAGCTGTTTGTAGTCTTCCAACGGGTCATATTACCCGACAAAAATATATATATATATATCAGTGTGTTATTCAATTTTGTCAACCAATTGAAGTTTTGCAGTTTGCAGTTGCAGTGCTTGTTTCAGTGGATGCCTCCTTCTTCTCTTTGTGGTTCAAACAGTGTTTTGTGATGTGTTTTTTTTCCTGCAACTCATTATGGGTCTTTTGTGTGAGTCTAACTCCTTGTTCGTTTGAGAGACCTTCCAGTCTCTCCAGTTCCAGCTAGGCTGAGACC